CACACACACACACACACACACACACACACACACACACACACACACACACACACACAGAGAGAGAGAGAGAGAGAGAGAGAGAGAGAGAGAGAGCCAGAGAGGGAGAGAGGGAGAGAGAGAGAGAGAGAGAGACAGACAGACACGCGCGCGCGCATCTCCTATACGGTAAAGCTTAGCGGCTCTGGCTAGCTACCCTATAACGTTTTAACCACGTGAGCGGTTTTCCGAGCCAGTTTCCGGTCAACCCCCACTTTCCTGGTACACATATATTGTCAAAACACCAAGAGCTGATACCGTGTATTGTTTATATAAATAATTAAGTGTTTATGAAGTTGTTCTTATAGAATTTAGATAATTTACTTTCGTTGCAATTATAAGGAAACTTAAAGGGAATCATGTGGTCCGAATAGCCTATAATGTGCTGCTTTTCTTGCTATGATGACAAATTAAAAAGCCACTGGCAATTTTACGTATTATTCTCTTCCATACTTTCATTGCCTTTTTCCTACACACACACACGCGCGCGCGCATCTCCTATACGGTAAAGCTTAGCGGCTCTGGTTAGCTACCCTATAACGTTTTAACCACGTGAGCGGTTTTCCGAGCCAGTTTCCGGTCAACCCCCACTTTCCTGGTACACATATATTGTCAAAACACCAAGAGCTGATACCGTGTATTGTTTATATAAATACTTAAGTGTTTATGAAGTTGTTCTCATGGAATTTAGATAATTTACTTTCGTTGCAAGTATAAGGAAACTTAAAGGAAATCATGTGGTCCGAATAGCCTATAATGTGATGCTTTTCTTGCGATGATGACAAATTAAAAAACCACTGGCAATTTTACGTATTATTCTCTTCCCTACGTTCATTGCTTTTTTCCTACACACACACGCGCGCGCGTGTGTGTAGGCACGCACGCACACACACACATATACACACACACACACACACACACACACACACACACACACACACACACACACACACGTATGCACGAACGCACGCATGTACGCACGCACGCACGCACAGACACGCACGCACTACCCCCACAACCCCCCACACACACACACGCGTGGAGAGCTAGCCACCCAGTACGCGTGATTGGTTAGACATTAGCGGCATCCCTGACCCTAGACGTCGCACTGCATGCTTAATCGATGGCCAGAGTAACGCACGCGGTAAGAGGCACACCGCGAGAAGGCTGCGTAAAAGCTTCGCTAATTTCTCATCCAGATAGCATCAGCATCATCATCGTCGTTATCAGCATCGTTATCGTCGTCATCGTCGTCATCAGCATCATCATCGTCGTCATCGCCGTCATCAGCATCATCATCGTCGTCATCGCCGTCATCAGCATCATCATCGTCGTCATCGCCGTCATCAGCATCATCATCGTCGTCATCGTCGTCATCACCATCATCAATGCGACATTTTTTACGCTACTAGAAACTGAACACACTGTGGCTTACTATACGTAGTGTACTGCATACATAATGTGTGTCCATACTAATACATGGAAAATAACGTGAAGGTAAACAGAAGTTCCATCGCCAATTAAACAAAAACATAAACGTCCTCACACTCAATCTTATCGCACTTAACGTTTAAAATAATTACTTAAAACCCATTTAATCTCGCGTTAATCACATAGCTTCTCGAAAACACGGCTATAAATAACCACCGTGACGTCACACGCATCCGTCGTCTGCCGACCGGCTGACTTTCCCTTGCGGTTGTCGCTCGTTCTATGCTGCGTGACGTCACGACGATGTGTGTCGTCTGCTTGTGTCGACACGTGGCTTCCTAATATCGCTCGTCGCGCCGTGTCGCGCCTGCGGCGTGTTTGTGCAAGGCAGCAGACTGAGTGTACACAGCGGACATGATTGCTGCGCCTGATGCTGCAGTATCGCTACATGCATGGCGCGTGCGTGCGTGTACGTGCGTGTGCGTGCGTGTGCGTGCGTGTGCATGTACACGTACAAGCGTGCGTGTGTGTGTGTGTGTGTGTGTGTGTGTGT